GGGTGAGGTGAGGTGAGGCGGAGAGAGGAAACGGTGCGGATCAGGAAAGAAGTTCGGGGTGTGACACAGTGGTGGTGTGGGTTGAGGTGAACCGGGGAAGTGCAGGGGGCGGCTGGGCTGCAAGGTGGGGGACGGGCAGCGAGGGGGCGTGGCGAGTCGCGGGGCCGCGCTTTGTCGGAGCGCACCTGTTGCGCCTCACGCGCTCTGCCCTCTGGCGCTGGGAACCGAAGCGGCTGCTCGGGAGGCGGCCACTGCAGCCATTCGTCACTCTCATAGCCCAGATGAACGGGCCGGGTTACAAAGCGCAAGAACACGCTGCAGGGCGGGACCTCTGACAGCAAACGGAACAAAAGACTTAAGGATACGGCTGCCTTCTCGTCTGTTTTTTCCTGCTTTTTGTCCCTTTTATCTTCGCAAATCAAATACTTTCATGGGACAGAAAATGTTTGTGAAGTCTACGAAACAAGAAGAAAGAGAGACTATCAAACTAGACAGTTAACGAAATAAATTAAATTTTATATTTTATTTTTCTAATTATTTTGTTCGTTTCCCCTTCATCTGTAAAAGTTCTTTGGATCTTTCACTTTGACAAGTTGTTATGAACCCTGCATGTGCTACTGCTTCACACTTGTTTCGTACCGGGAAGATAAATCCCGGAATGGACACTAGGCTTTTTGCCTTTATTCTCACTTCCCGCGCCCGACGCTTTGGGCCATTTGTATCCGGATCCCGCCAGAACGCAGTTACCCCTTTCGGATATCTCCCCCATTCAAACCCTAAGTCGGGCTGCCCTACCGCCCTGCCAGCTCAGAGCGACTGGCTTTACAGGCTTGTGCCGGTGTCGAATCAATGCGCCTTTCACAATGCGCATGGACAAGTCCCTCCTCTGAGTATAGGGTCACTGCTACGAAGCCAAGTGCCCAACTGAGGGACACATGCTCCCTGCTCAGGCTTTTATGTGTGGGATCTGGAGAATTTGAAAGAAGTCCTTCGCCCAATCTCGCCCAAAGGTCGGCGGGCTAGAGGCCTATGTGGTGGGTCACCGTGCAAATCTGGCAACTCGGAACTTAGCAACGCCTTCTCCCCGCCTCGGTTTTGTGGATGTGAGTACCGCCGAGACACTTTGAGAAGTGGGTTTCTTTTGATTATAATTTTTGTTTCTATTCGAACTATTGGGAGTCACATAGGAATCCAACCAACCATTCACGCATAGTTTTCTCCATTACAGTAGAATGTCAATATACGAAATTTTCTTCGGCGTATGATATGCATGGGGCACAGGTTATTTTGTCCTTTCCGCGTTGGTACATTTAGTGCAATACCGTTTGAATAAAACAGGCGATATTCAAGAAGGTATGCTAACATGGTAACACTTGCATTTTACGGCACTGTTAATTTTGTTTTGGCCCATGGACAGGGAGATACAGACTTTCGTGAGGGAATAACAGCGAGTGAACAATTTTCTGCGCCTGGTGTGGCAATCTCTTCGACATTCATGTACAGCAAATTGCCTACCATGCGACAATGTACCGAGTCTTGAACGAAATGTTTCATAATTCCCTTCTTTATTCAATTTTAGTCCGTATCTTTCTAAAATAACATCTAAGCCTACGAACATAGATTTTACTCGTGGAAATGCTGTTTGGAAAGCCCTTCATTACGACTAAAAAGCGTATTAATAATACTCCGTAGTTAAAGAGCTTTCATGCACCTTTTCCCGACGAGAAAACTAGTTTTTTCCTCTCTTTGCATTTAAAGAAGATTGAAGTCTCAAGTAAAACAGACGTGAATTGTTAACAAGAATAGCAATGTTAAATCGTAAAAAGAACCTCATGCCCAAACTATTTCCAAATGTTTTCCATAATTGGAATTTTGGGTTAGAGTACTATTATTGCGTCCTTTACAAAGTATTTGTGTTCCTAATAATATATGGATTTGCTACGGAGTTCTGTTTACGTTCTACTGAAACGAAAATTATAAGTTGAAAGAATAAGCTACTTGAAACCGTTTCATTTATCTATTCTAACAAGTTTTTAGCGTTGTGTGTTTTAGTACCTTCATTAACAATAAAACTGTTTGAAAACCTGATGAATATTGTAGTAAATATAAAAGTAATTTGGTTTTTCTGATAAAATACTCCTTTAGAAATTATAATGGAATTATTCAGCGGAGTCTGTATGGTTCACAAAAAACGTGGCTAAAGGTATTTTTGTTATAAACAACACTTGAAATATACATAAAATAAAAAAATAAGCATAACTGCATAGAAACGTAAATAATAACAGCTCACACATTGTGGTCATGTTAGAAATATTTTGACACACACACTGCACATGCAAAAACATGCAAAAACATGTAAAAACATGCACAAACATGCACACAAATGATAAAAGAACACGAAGGCAAACAGAACATGCCCAAACCATACATATATAGGCATGCAAACAGGAAAATAAAAATATACGAGCACATTTCAAAACAAGTACTTTGATTTTTTAAATTAAATCACTCTCAATTATAACGTTAATTCTAATGTTTACTCTTCTCTTATTAGATTATAAACTACTTTAATAAACGAGTATGAACTTTATACGTTTCTGAATATATCTAAGACAGTTTTATAATACAACCATAACTTTTTAAGTTTTAAGGTTCAAATATTTCTCAGTCCATAAATTAAAAATTTGAATTTCTCACATCACTGTGTCTTAAATTTTAATTAAAATTACTACGTTTCATTATATACGTAAAACATCCAAGTTATTTCAATATAATATGATTAAATATTTAATTCCGACACTGAAAATGTTTCCAATCAGTTAAAACATAGACATTCCGTAATAGAGAGTGCAAATATTTATTATCTTAGAATTCAAATTGAGATCTCTGTGTTTCGCCGCTTTACCGGATATTTTCAGTGCTTACCGGATGCTTTCAGTACGAGATCGCGGGCTCCAGTCCTTACTGTGGCCACTCAGAGTGTAGCGTCTCCCACCGCCTACAGTCCGGGTTTCTCGCCAACGGCTCATGCGATGACGCAGGGTGTTCTGCACCTCCGTGTTCAGGAAGCAGTAGAACAGAGCCACTGTGAACCCCTGCACACAACAAATATCTTCCACCAGTAAGTCATGAGATGCCGCAGACACTATGCATCTCCATGTGCAAGAAACAATGAAACAGCGCCAACGTGAACCCTTACACACAACATAAACATCTAAAAAACTATATCTCCCGCAAGCAACTCATGCTATACCGCAGAATGAATGCATCTCCATGTGCAGGAAACAATAAAACAACACCACCGTTAACCACTGCACCGTTAACCACTCCCGCACAAAACACAATCCTCTCACACACATCACCGCTCGCCAACGAGTTAGAAATTGCAGTGTTAAACAAGAAATACAATTATTCTTAGAAGAATTATCAACGATGGTTAACAATAATACAACGTAATTAAAGGTCATTAGGATTAAAACGATTAACTCTGTTTCATTGGCGCTCAATGCTGTGCCTAATTACTGCATATTTGATTGCGAATAAAATATCTTACCGACAGGTGTAGGTGCTCGAATAAACGTATTTTCAATTAGTTCGAAATAAAAAAAGGAGAAAAGTGGAAACGTGAGGCAGTTTCTTTTTCCCAACAAAATGAAGCAAGTTCTGTTAGTAAGGTAGATTCTTGTAACTCGTCCAAGAATGAGAAAGATTTTGAAACAGAGGTAATACATAAAATGTTATCATAATCCGGATTCAAGATCATAGAGATAGAAATGCTTGAAGTTAGAAAAATATTATTATTTAGATTATCTCTAGTATGTTAAAACAAGGGATCAGATTTATATGATCCAATAATTTATTAAATATGTTTGCATTAAAGTAGTCAAAACTTCGAAAATGTGCAATAAACCCTTCCTCATAAAGTGAATAAAACTTAGAAACAAAAGAGAAAAACTTCTTTCTGTTCGCATCTTACTTCGTTTACATTTGTAGAGGAAATGTCATTGAGTTGTGTTGGATTGGAGGCAATACAAGTCATGTGCAAAAGGTCTTCTCCTTTACCATATTAAACCAAACGATCGTTATTTTCCATTGTAATCTCTTTCGAAAGTCAGGCACATAAAACAAATATTAGCAACAGTGAATCTAGTAAATATAATCGCACATTGCAAGTATACAACTCAATTAACAAGTTAAAATAAATGAAAATAAATGGATAAAACGATAAATGCTTACATGGAAAATATACAATATAATGAACCTTTTTGCTGAAAATATATGTTTATTAATAAAACAAGCAACGTAAGCAATATATGATCCCCAAATTCAATTTTTAATGATTTAAAACATTTTCTTGCTAGTGCCATGTAAGCATACTTTCGTAGTGCTAGTAAAAATGCATTTGTATTGAAATCCGGTCCCTAGTAACAACAATGTGTTAATCTAATATCAAAAATGTATTTATATACTTTTATTTAAATTTATTCAGAATATGTGAATCGGCAAGGTAAGATGACCAGCAGTGTAAGATCTAAGGTGGCAGCTTTGTACCAATGTACGATTGCACCATTATGCTAAGGTGGCATGGCATCTACGCACGGCAGAAGGATATGGCGTACCAAACTTTCCGTCATGCAAACTTGCTCTCAACAGCTCAAGGCTGTGAACAACGTGGCTACAGCCTTTCAATGGTTGCTACGAGTGCGTAGATAAACTTTTGCGTAGGTGAAAATTGTGCAAAACTTTAGTTGATATCAGATATTTTGTAGCTTTTTAAATTATTTATTTTAGGTTGTTTTACAAACAACTAAGATCATTAGCGACAACTATTAATTTACACCAGAGATATAATTTATAATCAATAACATGCATAAATATTAAGTACAATAAACATTTACAATAATTCAGATTATTGTATCAAGACCTGCGACATTAAGATAGTTAACCATTGATTTGCGACCTTCAATTTAGTAAATATTTCCTTTATATTTTTTTGTAGTTTGATGCAATTAAGAATTCCCATTCCTTGATTTCTTAACTAGTTACTTTGAATACCGGAGAATATGAATCTGATGGAAAAGTTATTGACTCCATCGGAATGTGTAAATAGTGTGTGTAAATTACAAAATGAATAAGAGAAGAAGCATATTGGAAAAGATGGATCATATAATAGAAGAAACAAAATTGCACATAGTGAAAGGTGTATGTATCACTAGTGTATTGAAGTGTAAGGATGCAAGAGTGTGCGTGCGTAAACCAATAAATACGTAAGAACCTAAGGCGTAAGGTCCTTCGACACAAGAGCGGAGATGTGAATTGTGGTGGATTATGTGTGGTTTGTGAGAGTATATGCTACGTTGTATTATGCAAATTGATATTAGTGTAGAATTTGACACATATCTTTTTTATGTTAAGCTGTGTGGGGGAACAATAAGTGAAAATTAAAAAAAAAATATTTTGTTTAAAAATGTCTTGATTTGATAAAGCAATATAGGAAAGATTACTGATACGAGAGTACAATGATAGTAGACGGTCTAACCTTCGGATGAATTATCATTCTGACTTTCTTCACACCCAACAACTTGCGAAAAGTCACAAAACAAGTCTTAATTGCACCAAAAGCAGACCAAGGCAACATAGTAAGGATTTTTGAAAAAAATACAATATTAGAATCTCAGTACGTAATATTATTAACCTACGTAAACAAACGTGTATTTTAAATGTTCTTTATATTTATCAATATTTATTGCTGTGATATCTTGGGCTTACGCGGGTCAGTGCCGTATGAACGCTTTCGGCTGACAAAGTGACGCCGCCTCGAGGGCTTTGATGTCGACGTTTCGACCATCCTACAATGGTCTTCCTCACTCACTCTAGCACTCCTGACCTGAAGACCACAATAGGATGGTCGAAACATCAGCATCAATGCTCTCGATGCGGCGTCACCCGGACACCCGAGAGCCTCCATATTCAAATGAGAGAATTGGCTTCCGCAAACGGAAAAAAAGTAGCTGCTTGGCTGTCCGAGAGACGCTATGTTATAGGTACAAGTGTCAACGTTTCGGCCGCCATTCTGCGACCTACCTCAGGGCAAAATGCCCTGTCTCATTTCGCCCTGAGAAAGGTCGCAGAAAGGCTGCCGAAACGTTGGCACCTGTGCCTAGGACGCGGCGTCTCCCGGACAGCCAAGAAGCTACCTTCATATTCATTTGCGTTTGTTCTGTCGCCCACAAGCCACGCCCACCTGTAGGCTGAGGAGAAGCGCCTGTGCGTTGCGGAAGACATGGCCCGCCACGCCGTCCATGGGGCCCTGCATCATGAGGATGTAGGTGATGCCCAGCAGCGGGAACAGCACCAGCAGCGCCT